AACATAAATGGTCCTAAAATGCCCCAAACGCGTCCTCGTAACATTTGGTTTGTTCACACTTACAATTAGCCTAGTTGCGCCCCTGTAAAGTCATCTCTTATATTTACCACTATTTGTGCGCAAAACATGTAGTTGGTTCTGATTGTAAGAATTAAAACTGGTTTTAGATATATGTATATCAATTATTAATAGTAATATGCTAAATCGACCGACGCCATCATACCTCATTGTCTGATTGAGCTCTCCTAGCTAAACGCTTCTCGCCTAACCAAAGCTGTTTATAAATCATTTCCCTGTGAAAGTGTTAATTTCCATGTGTGGAAGTATTTACAGAACACCGTGAAGTAATTATGACGTAATACGCATCTGTATATTCATTGGTTAGTGTACATCACATTTATTCTCGGCCATGTTACCGGCATGCGCTGTCCGACACACGGGACACGTCAGAGAAATCGCTGATGCTTCTTCATTCTGTGGGAATATTTTTCTAAATGTTTCGAAGATTTATTTTTCTTTTTTTTTAAATTGCTAATTGGCATTTTAAAAAAAAGATGCATTTGCTTCTAAAGCACAGAACATTTGGTCTCAGATTGGATCTTGAACGTTCCTAGTCTTTGATGAATTCCTCGCATGGTGATGTAGCGCCTTGGTCGTGAGGGAACCTGTTGTAGACTTCATCATTCAGAAAACTGGGAGGGTCATGGAAGAATGTTGCTTTTTATCAACAGCATGTCCTCCATATTGGGCATGAACACAGTGTTACACAACCTGACTAAACCTGCTGAACACAGTGTTACACAACTAGACTGAACCTGCTGAACACAGTGTTACACAAACTGACTGAACCTGCTGAACACAGTGTTACACAACTAGACTGAACCTGCTGAACACAGTGTTACACAACTAGACTGAACCTGCTGAACACAGTGTTACACAACCTGACTGAAACTGCTGAACACGGTGTTACACAACTAGACTGAACCTGCTGAACACAGTGTTACACAACCTGACTGAACCTGCTGAACACAGTGTTACACAACCTGACTGAACCTGCTGAACACAGTGTTACACAACAAGACTGAACCTGCTGAACACAGTGTTACACAACCTGACTGAACCTGCTGAACACAGTGTTACACAACCTGACTGAACCTGCTGAACACAGTGTTACACAACTAGACTGAACCTGCTGAACACAGTGTTACACAACCTGACTGAAACTGCTGAACACAGTGTTACACAACTAGACTGAACCTGCTGAACACAGTGTTACACAACCTGACTGAACCTGCTGAACACAGTGTTACACAACCTGACCGAACCTGCTGAACACAGTGTTACACAACCTGACTGAACCTGCTGAACACAGTGTTACACAACCTGACTAAACCTGCTGAACACAGTGTTACACAACCTGACTGAACCTGCTGAACACAGTGTTACACAACCTGACTAAACCTGCTGAACACAGTGTTACACAACCTGACTGAAACTGCTGAACACAGTGTTACACAACCTGACTAAACCTGCTGAACACAGTGTTACACAACCTCGCTGAACCTGCTGAACACAGTGTTACACAACCTGACTGAACCTGCTGAACACAGTGTTACACAACTAGACTGAACCTGCTGAACACAGTGTTACACAATCTGACTGAACAGGTTGATAAACACTGCACATGTTTGAGAAAGTCTATGTTAACATATGACGAGGCTCCTCTATTTGTACGGCTATTGGCTCGTCACGGCACCGTGTGCAGAGCCCACGGGTGCACACCCGGTTCAAGACAAACAGATCTACATTGCCGCCTTGTTCACTATTGAGTATGAGTACACGGAAGATTTCATTCTGAGCCAGTGTTATATGTTATTCCTTATTTTGTCGTTTAACATTTTGGGACTAATATATCATAATATATCATAAATAAATCATACCAAACGCCGAGAAACGAAAGATATGGCGATTGCAGATTTTACTGCTCTTCACTGTCTTTCTTGATATGACGTGGTTTTATTGTCAGAGTGAGACAGGTCGATATTCGACCATAAGACCATGCAACTGCAAAACAGAGATATGGTTTAAAGCAGTCTTCTCAAAACCTGGCAGCCTGCTGCGCACACCACATTTCGCCTGCGCAACACATGATGACACGCCCAAACTAGTGGCACGCTGTCTCGACATCACACTTTGCACAGGTGATTGCAGGTGAAAGTATCCACCAGTGTTTACAACAAACTCTAAACACGTCACACAGTTGACTGGCATAGTGGTTTCACTTATGCCATGCTACAGGCTCCACAAACGTTGCACACACTGCACGCCACACACTCGCCATGCACACACTGCACGCCACACACGCGCCGTGCACACACACTGCACGCCACACACACGCCGTGCACACACACACTGCACGCCACACACACTTCATACCACATGTCACACACACTGCACGAACCACACACGTCACACACACTGCAACCTCCCCACACGTCACACACAGTGCAGTCTCCACACATGTCACACACACACTGCAGTCTCCACACACGTCACACACTGCAGTCTCCATACTAACTGCAGTCTCCACATGTCACACACATACTGCAGTCTAAACACAGGACACACTTCAAACACAAACACACACACACACACACACTGCACGCTCGTCATATTCCTTACACGTCACACACACTCACACTGCAGTCTCCACACCCACGTCACACACATTCTGCAGTCTCAACGCACGTCACACACACAATGCAGTCTCCACACACACGTCACACACATTCTGCAATCTCCACACAAATGTCACTCACACACATCACACACACTACATGCACCACACACGTCACACACACATTGCAGTCTCCACACGTCACACACACACACGCATTGCAGCCTCCACACACGTCACACACACTGCAGTCTCCACACACGTCACACACTGCAGTCTCCATACTAACTGCAGTCTCCACATGTCACACACATACTGCAGTCTAAACACAGGACACACTTCAAACATGTCTCACATACACACTGCAGTCTCCACACGTTACACACACGCTACAGTCTCCACACACGTCACACTCCACACACACTGCAGCCTCCACACACATCCCACACTGCAGTCTCCACACACGTCACAAACACACTGCAATCTCTATACACGTCACACACGCGCACTGCAGTCTCAAAACGTCACACACACTGCTATCACCACACACGACACACACAAACTGCACGCTCCACACACGTCACATATACCACAGTCTCCACACACACACTGCAGTCTCGACGAGTCACACACACTACACGCTCCACACACACACACACACACACACACACACACACACACACACACACACACACACACACACACTGCACACACACACACACACACACACACACTGCACACACACACACTGCACACATAATGTAGTCTCCACACACATCAATTACAGTGCGGACTTAGACACACAATGAACCTTTCACACCTGACACACACACACACATTGCAGCCTCCACACACGTCACACACACTGCAGTCTCCACACACGTCACACACTGCAGTCTCCATACTAACTGCAGTCTCCACATATCACACACATACTGCAGTCTAAACACAGGACACACTTCAAACATGTCTCACATACACACTGCAGTCTCCACACGTTACACACACGCTACAGTCTCCACACACGTCACACTCCACACACACTGCAGCCTCCACACACATCCCACACTGCAGTCTCCACACACGTCACAAACACACTGCAATCTCTATACACGTCACACACGCGCACTGCAGTCTCAAAACGTCACACACACTGCTATCACCACACACGACACACACAAACTGCACGCTCCACACACGTCACATATACCACAGTCTCCACACACACACTGCAGTCTCGACGAGTCACACACACTACACGCTCCACACACACACACACACACACTACACGCTCCACACACACACACACACACACACACACACACACACACACACACACACACACACACACACACACACACACACACACACACACACACACTGCACACACACACACTGCACACACACTGCACACACACACACTGCACACATAATGTAGTCTCCACACACATCAATTACAGTGCGGACTTAGACACACAAGGAACCTTTCACACCTGACACAGTGAGTGTAAAGTCGCACACTCAAGACACACGCGGACCTTTCACACCTGGCACAGTGACTGCTAAGTCGCACACTCAAGACACACACGGACCTTTCACACCTGACGCAGTGGGTGTTAAGTCGCACACTCAAGACACACAATGACCCTTCTACTCCTGGCACAGTGAGTGTTAAGTCGCACACTCAGGACACACAATGAACCTTCTACTCCTGGCACAGTGAGTGTTACGTCGAACACTCAAGACACAAAATGAACCTTCTACTCCTGGCACAGTGAGTGTTAAGTCGCACACTCAGGACACACAATGAACCTTCTACTCCTGGCACAGTGAGTGTTACGCCGCACACTCAAGACACACAATGAACCGTCTACTCCTGGCACAGTGAGTGTTACGCCGCACACTCAGGACACACAATGAACCTTCTACTCCTGGCACAGTGAGTGTTAAGTCGAACACTCAAGACACACAATGACCCTTCTACTCCTGGCACAGTGAGTGTTACGTCGCACACTCAGGACACACAATGAACCTTCTGCTCCTGGCACAGTGAGTGTTACGTCGAACACTCAAGACATACAATGAACCTTTCACACCTGACACAGTGAGTGTTAAGTTACACACTCAAGACACACACTGAAACATTCAACGAAAGCACATCCACATTGATCTGTGACAGGTGGTATCGCGAGGTTTGATTGTTCATCTCTATGTCTCATCCATGTGAGACCATACCTATGGAACACGCATGCCATGTTGTCAGCTGGTACATCTGAATCTCACAGCCCAGGATAGGCGTTGAGTTTGTGATGTTTTGTTGTAGACACAAGCTCCCTGTGCGAGTCCGAATGCGAGAACGGGGGCACATGCACGGAGGTCGGCGAATGCTCGTGTATGCAGGGATTTGAGGGCAAGTTTTGTCGTCTAGGTACGTCGCATAGTTGCGTCAAGGCATGAATGACGTATACAAGCATGGCTCCATGGTTTCCAAAGTGCTTAGCTTGAATTGTGTCTCCTAGACAATGTTATTGTATGGTACCTTTACCTGACCTGTGATGTACCCCAAGGATGGATCTGCTTGAAGTCTTATCTGTTCATGGCATGGCGTTGTCCAGTTATCAGGCATATATTCTAGTGGCGTACGTACGTTGGGTACACTCTGCATGTGACGTGTAACATCAAGTCAGATTGCCTTTATAATCCCAACTTAACTCTCATGTAGTATATCTAACACCTATAACATCGTTTTGTTTGTGTTTTGACAGTGTGCATTATAGAAGCAGATGTGTTGAAAGTAGGTGTCACCAGTATGCTGGTCGCAACCGTGTATTGTTAAAAACATATGTGAAATGAGTTGAACATCTGTGGCTACCAAAGCTCAGCTGACTTCCCCGGGTATGCTGGATCCTTATCGACGTGGTTCCTTTAATCTCCACCAAGTTCGCATCGTTGAATTTCGATTTTGCTTGCATAGAATTTGACAGGTAGGGTTTGGATCATAGAATAACACATCCTTGTTTCACGAAAGATGACAAAGTAAGAGCAGTGAGGAAAAGAGTAGATTCCACAACCTCTGACAAATTGGATCCGGCGTTAACGGGACTACCTCAGCTTGGTGCTCTCTAGTATGCTTAACCCATGGAAAGTAAAAGCTTATATCAGCCAAATGCCGAAAAGAGAATGGAGACGCCATGCAGTAAGACATTGCGGTTGCCTTGCCTGTACCAGTCGCCATGTCAGCACGAGCAGGTTGTCTTGACAGTATAAGACGCCATGTCAGCATATGCTTGTTCTTTGCCAAAATCAGACGCCATGCCAGCACGTGCTGGCCCCTTGCCATAAACAAACGTCATGACCACACGTGCTTGCCCCTTGTCAATAACAAAGACGCCATGTCAGCACGGGCTTGTTCCTTGCCATTATCAAACGGCATGTTAGCACGTGCTTGTTCTTTGCCAATAATAGGCGCCACGTCAACACGTGCTTGGTCCTTGCCAATAACAAACACAGTGTAATGGGATGCTGTTGCTTTACACATACCAGTAGTTAAAACATGTCTTGGCTGACTTGGAAATTTCGGGTCGCCTCTATGCAATTGGCAACACCGAATGACTGACATTACGTCTAAATGAGTGGTCAATCTGACTGACGTTACTTAACGTTTGAATGTGGTGGTCACTCTGAGTGTCGTGTCGTCCGAAGTGCATGGTATCTACACGTCACACAACACGGTGTCATCTTAGGTGCGTGGTGTATACAAGGGCTGCTAGAGATGCTGATCTACATACCAACCAGAACGGAGTTTCACAAGTATATCCCTTATTCCTGTTCATATGTTCATGTGCTTTACTGTACCTATGCAGCTCACGGCATGTCCAATAATGTGTTTAAGTGGTGTTGTGGATATATATAGTCACTAAGATCTGTCCACACGTGTGCGTGGATGCTGTCAATTCATTCTAAACGTGCACTCTTATTAGAGTTATAGATATCAACGTCGTTGTGTAAAACAAAAACTATGTACATTGTATACTGGCCGCATACATATGGTGACTGATCTGTAATCTGATGTTGACGTTCAGACAGGCGGTCCTCAGTGTATATACCTGCATATATCACCAGAGCTGGTCCCAGTGGTACCATGCATCCTAGTCAATATCCCTTTCAGTTTCTGCATGCCGAGTGTTGATAAGACAGTCTTGAGTCCCTGTGGTCAACGGCTTACTGTGCATGATTTGATTAACCGGACATTTTGCATGTTTCAGCCCTCTGTAATCCGATCTGTCAGAACAATGGAACGTGCATATCTCCCGAAGTGTGCGCATGTCCGGAAGGGTATACTGGGACTCACTGTGAGAAAGGTATAGTTTTTACAGAGTGTGATATCTTCATATACATATACTGTAGACTACTAGTTGATATGTTTGCTATGCAGAGCATGCACATATTTCCAAGGTATGTGTCTTTGTGTGGCATGGGTACATAGTCTTTGATACTGCCGACATTGTTTTGACATTAAATGCGACAGTGCCTCCGTGGTTGACTTAGACGGACGTGAGGACTATCAGCTCAAGTACCAATTTTTTAAATACAATTTTTGTTTTTCACTCCCTAATTAATCCTCTGGTCACTCTTAAATATGCCCAGAGGCAGGTATTGAACAGTGTCTTGTTTCCCCTTTCAGCCACCTGTGGGCGTACCTGTGAGAACGGTGGGCGGTGCCTGCCCGAGGGGTACTGCTGGTGCACAAAGGGGTACTATGGGGAGGCGTGCGAATACAGTAAGTCCGCCAACAACCCGCCTCTGTGGGCACACAGACTAGCAGGTCTTCTAGATGTTGTGATGTCGGTGGTACGAGATTAAAGTATCGTCATATGACCTTATTGTCGAAGAGTGAGTAAGTGAGCATGGTTTTACGCCGCTTTCAGCAATATTCCAGAAACATCACGGCGGGGGACAGCAGAAATTGGCTTCACATAATGTATACATATGGAGAATCGAACCCGGGCTTTCGTCGTGCCGAGCGGTCGCTTTAACCACTAGGCTACCCAAGCGCCCCCATTGTCCCACAGTAAAAGTACGCATGTGAAATGCGTTAAAGATTCCGTTTTAGTAAATGCGTTAAAGAGTGCGTTTTAGTAAATGTGTTAAAGTGTGCGTTCTATGGTGTGATTAACATTATATGCTCTGTGTAGTAGTACAACTGTATGTTTTCGTGTATGAGTATACCTGTATATTCTAGTGTATTAGTATATTCTAGAGTAAGAGTATACCTGTATGTTTTCGTGTATGAGTATACCTGTATATTCTAGTGTATGAGTATATTCTGGAGTAAGAGTATACCTGTATGTTTTCGTTTATGAGTATACCTGTATATTCTAGTGTATTAGTATATTCTAGAGTATATATTCTAGTGTATGAGTATATTCTAGAGTAAGAGTTACCTGTATGTTTTCTTGTATGAGTATACCTGTATATTCTAGTGTATTAGTATATTCTAGAGTAAGAGTATACATATATGTTTCCGTGTATGAGTATAGGTGTATGTTCTGAAGGTTAAGAAACATATGTATGTTTTAGTGTGACTACTCATATATGCTTCAGAGTGTGTGTGTATACGCCTGTATGTTTCCGTGTACACCTGTGTTCTAAGGTGTGGGTACACTTATGTGTTCTAGTGTATGGGCACACGCGTGTGTTCAAGTGTATGGGTACACGTGATACAATTGAAAAGATACAAACATTCTATTTTAAACGTTTTCTTGGTGTGGGTAAATCTTTAGCAAACAAAGCTATTCTGGGGGAAACTGGACGTCATTGTATGTTTATAAATACGCAAATAAGGGTGATGAAGTACTGGATTAAGGTTTTGCGAATGAATGCAAGTCGATACGCCTTCCAAAGTGGTGTTATGTTTACAGTATTAGATGAGAATGGAAAATCAATTGGGCATCGAATGTGAGAAAAATGTTATTTAATACCGATTTTAGGCATGTGTGGTTATTCAAAGATGTTAGTGATATGAACATGTTTTTGTCTGCATTTAGAAGACGCTTAAGAGATATTTATTTCCAATCATGGTACCACCGTTTGGAGAACATGAGAGTACATTATGCTGATATTAAATCTCTTCTGCAAACCGAATTTTATATAACTGTACTCAGAGACAAACGATTAGTTAGAGCAATATGTAAATTTCGAATATCTCTTCAAAACTTTCGAGTCAACATTATTCGTAAAAGGCTATTGTTAAATATACCTCAAAATCTATACGTAAAAATTGTGACCTTCATTTTAGAAAAGATAAATACCATATCTTTTTTTGTATGTAAGAAATATATTCACTTGAGAAACTTGATTGATTGGTACACGTGTGTGTTCTAGTTGTATGAGTACACGTGTGTGTTCTAGTGTGTGGGTACACGTGTGTGTTATAGCTGTATGGGTACACGTGTGTGTTCTAGTTGTATGGGTACACGTGTGTGTTCTAGTTGTATGAGTACACGTGTGTGTTCTAGTGTGTGGGTACACGTGTGTGTTCTAGTTGTATGAGTACACGTGTGTGTTCTAGTTGTATGGGTACACGTGTGTGTTCTAGCTGTGTGGGTACACGTGTGTGTTCTAGTTGTATGAGTACACGTGTGTGTTCTAGCTGTATGGGTACACGTGTGTGTTCTAGTTGTATGGGTACACGTGTGTGTTCTAGTTGTATGGGTACACGTGTGTGTTCTAGTTGTATGGGTACACGTGTGTGTTCTAGTGTGTGGGTACACGTGTGTGTTCTTGTTGTTTGAGTACACGTGTGTGTTCTAGTTGTATCGGTACACGTATGTGTTCTAGCTGTATTGGTACACGTGTGTGTTCTAGTTGTATGGGTACACGTGTGTGTTCTAGTGTGTTGGTACACGTGTGTGTTCTAGTTGTATGGGTACACGTGTGTGTTCTAGTTGTATGATTACACGTATGTGTTCTAGCTGTATGGGTACACGTGTGTGTTCTAGTTGTATGGGTACACGTGTGTGTTCTAGTTGTATGGGTACACGTGTGTGTTCTAGTTGTATCGGTACACGTGTGTGTTCTAGTTGTATGGGTACACGTGTGTGTTCTAGTGTGTGGGTACACGTGTGTGTTCTAGTTGTATCGGTACACGTGTGTGTTCTAGTTGTATCGGTACACGTGTGTGTTCTAGTTGTATGGGTACACGTGTGTGTTCTAGTTGTATGGGTACACGTGTGTGTTCTAGTTGTATGGGTACACGTGTGTGTTCTAGTTGTATGGGTACACGTGTGTGTTCTAGTGTGTGGGTACACGTGTGTGTTCTAGTGTGTTGGTACACGTGTGTGTTCTAGTTGTATGGGTACACGTGTGTGTTCTAGTTGAATCGGTACACGTGTGTGTTCCAGTGTGTGGGTACACGTGTGTGTTCTAGTTGTATGAGTACACGTGTGTGTTCTAGGTGTATGGGTACACGTGTGTGTTCTAGTGTGTGGGTACACGTGTGTGTTCTAGTTGTATGGGTACACGTGTGTGTTCTAGTTGTATGGGCACACGTGTGTGTTCTAGTGTGTGGATACACGTGTGTGTTCTAATTGTATGAGTACACGTGTGTGTTCTAGTTGTATGGGTACACGTATGTGTTCTTGTGTGTGGGTACACGTGTGTGTTGTAGTGTGTGGGTACACGTGTGTGTTCTAGTGTATGGGTACACGTGTGTGTTCTAGTGTGTGGGTACACGTGTGTGTTCTAGTTGTATGGGTACACGTGTGTGTTCTAGTGTGTGGGTAAAAGTGTGTGTTCTAGTGTGTGGGTACACGTGTGTGTTCTAATATGTGGGTACACGTGTGTGTTCTAGTTGTGCGGGTACACGTGTTTGTTCTAGTGTGTGGGTACACGTGTGTGTTATAGCTGTATGGGTACACGTGTGTGTTCTAGTTGTATGGTTACACGTGTGTTCTAGTGTATGGTTACACGTGTGTGTTCTAGTTGTATGGGTACACGTGTGTGTTCTAGTTGTATGGGTACACGTGTGTGTTCTAGTTGTATGGGTACACGTGTGTGTTCTAGTTGTATGGGTACACGTGTGTGTTCTAGTGTGTGGGTACACGTGTGTGTTCTAGTTGTATGGGTACACGTGTGTGTTCTAGTGTGTGGGTACACGTGTGTGTTCTAGTTGTATGGGTACACGTGTGTGTTCTAGTTGTATGGGTACACGTGTGTGTTCCAGCTGTATGGGTACACGTGTGTGTTCTAGTTGTATGGGTACACGTGTGTGTTCTAGTTGTATGGGTACACGTGTGTGTTCTAGTGTGTGGGTACACGTGTGTGTTCTAGCTGTATGGGTACACGTGTGTGTTCTAGCTGTAGGGGTACACGTGTGTGTTCTAGTGTGTGGGCAACGTGTGTGTTCTAGTTGTATGGGTACACGTGTGTGTTCTAGTTGTATGGGTACACGTGTGTGTTCTAGTTGTATGGGTACACGTATGTGTTCTAGTGTGTGGGTACACGTGTGTGTTGTAGTGTGTGGGTACACGTGTGTGTTCTAGTGTATGGGTACACGTGTGTGTTCTAGTGTGTGGGTACACGTGTGTGTTCTAGTTGTATGGGTACACGTGTGTGTTCTAGTGTGTGGGTAAACGTGTGTGTTCTAGTGTGTGGGTACACGTGTGTGTTCTAATATGTGGGTACACGTGTGTGTTCTAGTGTGCGGGTACACGTGTTTGTTCTAGTGTGTGGGTACACGTGTGTGTTCTAGCTGTATGGGTACACGTGTGTGTTCTAGCTGTAGGGGTACACGTGTGTGTTCTAGTGTGTGGGTACACGTGTGTGTTCTAGTTGTATGGTTACACGTGTGTGTTCTAGTTGTATGGGTACACGTGTGTGTTCTAGTTGTATGGGTACACGTGTGTGTTCTAGTTGTATGGGTACACGTGTGTGTTCTAGTGTGTTGGTACACGTGTGTGTTCTAGTTGTATGGGTACACGTGTGTGTTCTAGTGTGTGGGTACACGTGTGTGTTCTAGTTGTATGGGTACACGTGTGTGTTCTAGCTGTATGGGTACACGTGTGTGTTCTAGTTGTATGGGTACACGTGTGTGTTCTAGTGTGTGGGTACACGTGTGTGTTCTAGTTGTATGGGTACACGTGTGTGTTCTAGCTGTATGGGTACACGTGTGTGTTCTAGTTGTATGATTACACGTGTGTGTTCTAGTTGTATGGGTACACGTGTGTGTTCTAGTTGTATGGGTACACGTGTGTGTTCTAGTTGTATGGGTACACGTGTGTGTTCTAGTTGTATGGGTACACGTGTGTGTTCTAGTTGTATGGGTACACGTGTGTGTTCTAGTTGTATGGGTACACGTGTGTGTTCTAGTTGTATGGGTACACGTGTGTGTTCTAGCTGTATGGGTACACGTGTGTGTTCTAGTTGTATGGTTACACGTGTGTTCTAGTGTATGGTTACACGTGTGTGTTCTAGTGTGTTCGTGTGTGTGTGTGTGTGTGTGTGTGTGTGTGTGTGTGTGTGTGTGTGTGTGTGTGTGTGTGTGTGTGTGTGTGTGTGTGTGTGTGTGTGTGTGTGTGTGTGTGTGTGTGTGTGTGTGTTCTAGTGTATTAGTCTTCCTTCGTGTTCCAGGTCACTGCAACAACAGCCCGTGTGAGAATGGAGGTACATGTATCGGCCCAATCAGATGTCAGTGTTCTGCGGGTTTCTCCGGCAACCAGTGTCAACACAGCAGTAAGTTCAACAAAACAAACAACTGATGTCAACTGCCCCGTCAGTTCTTATCGAAACACGTGTTTAGTATAATGTCCATCTTTGTGTTTAGAACAATTTGGCATACTGTACTGTTACCATTATGACGTTACCATAAAACCTATGAATGTGTATCAAGCTGCTATTGTTGTGTTTGTTGTTTGAGTGGCGTGGTCGGCGCGTAACAAACTGGTATTGTTGTTTGTTGTTTGAGTGGCGTGGTCGGCGCGTAACAAGCTGGTATAGTTGCGTTTTTTAATTGAGTGACGTGGTCCACGCGTTACAAGCTGGTATTGTTGTGTTTGCTGTTTGAGTGACGTGGTCCACTCGTTACAAGCTGGTATTGTTGTGTTTGTTGTTTGAGTGGCGTGGTCCACGCGTAACAAGCTTGTATTGTTGTGTTTGTTGTTTGAGTGACGTGGTCGTCTCGTAATAAGCTGGTATAGTTGTGTTTGTTGTTTGAGTGGCGTGGTCGGCGCGTAACAAGCTGGTATAGTTGCGTTTGTTGTTTGAGTGACGTGGTCCACGCGTAACAAGCTGGTATTGTTGTGTTTGTTGTTTGAGTGGCGTGGCCCACTCGTAACAAGCTGGTATTGTTGTGTTTGCTGTTTGAGTGGCGTGGTCCACGCGTATCAAGCTAGTATTGTTGTGTTTGATGTTTGAGTTGCGTGGTCCACGCGTAACAAGCTAGTATTGTTGTGTTTGATGTTTGAGTTGCGTGGTCCACGCGTAACAAGCTAGTATTGTTGTGTATACAGATACGGACCGGCCGCGGCGCAGTGATGACCGGAGGCGCAATACAGACAAAAACAAACGAAATCCAAGCAGAAAGAAAAAACGACGGACACGGAAGGACCGGAAAGAGAGAAAAGGTAGGTAGGCAGAGGTATCTGATATCCGTGCCATCTTAATGCGCATGTCTGTGCATATAATATTATGTACCTGTTACTGAGGTCATCTTAAAAAAAAAATACACATCTCTACGCATATATTATCATGTACCTGTTACTGAGGCCATCTTAATGCACATGTCTACGCATATAGTATCATGTACCTATTACTGAGAGCATCTTAATGCACATGTCTAAGCGTAAAGTATTATGTACCTATTACAGAGAGCATCTTAATGCACATGTCTAAGCATAAAGTAGTATGTACCTATTACTGAGAGCATCTTAATGCACATGTCTACGCGTAAAGTATTATGTACTTATTACTGAGAGCATCTTAATGCACATGTCTAAGCATAAAGTAGTATGTACCTATTACTGAGAGCATCTTAATGCACATGTCTACGCGTAAAGTATTATGTACCTATTACTGAGGCCATCTTAATGCACATTTCTATGCATAAAATATTATGTACTTGTTACTGAGAGCATTTTAATGCACATGTCTACGCGTAAAGTATTATGTACCTATTACTGAGAGCATCTTAATGCACATGTCTACGCTTAAAGTATTATGTACCTATTACTGAGAGCATTTTAATGCACATGTCTACGCGTAAAGTATTATGTACCTATTACTGAGAGCATTTTAATTCACATTTCTACGTGTAAAGTACTATGTACCTGCTACAGAGGTCATCTGAATAAATATTTCACATGTCTACGCATATAGTATTATGAACCTGTTACTGAGGTCATCTTAATGCACATGTCTACGCGTAAAGTATTATGTACTTATTAATGAGAGCATCTTAATGCACATGTCTACGCGTAAAGTATTATGTACCTATTACTGAGAGTATCTTAATGCACATGTCTACGCGTAAAGTATTATGTACCTGTTACTGAGGTCATCTTAAAAAAATAATGCACTTTCTACGCGTAAAGTATTATGTACCTTTTACTGAGAGCATCTTAATGCACATGTCTACGCGTAAAGTATTATGTACCTATTACTGAGGCAAACTTAATGCACATGTCTTCGCATAAAATATTATGTTCTTGTTACTGAGAGCATCTTAATGCACATGTCTACGCGTAAAGTATTATGTACCTATTACTGAGGCAAACTTAATGCACATGTCTACGCATAAAATATTATGTACATGTTACTGAGAGCATCTTAATGCACATGTCTACGCGTAAAGTATTATGTACTTATTACTGAGGCAAACTTAATGCACATGTCTACGCGTAAAATATTATGTACCTGTTACTGAGAGCATCTTAATGCACATGTCTACGCGTAAAGTATTATGTACCTATTACTGAGGCAAACTTAATGCACATGTCTACGCATAAAATATTATGTACATGTTACTGAGAGCATCTTAATGCACATGTCTACGCGTAAAGTATTATGTACTTATTACTGAGGCAAACTTAATGCACATGTATGCGTAAAGTATTATGTACCTATTACTGAGGCAAACTTAATGCACATGTCTACGCGTAAAGTATTATGTACCTGTTACTGAGGTCATCTGAATAAATAATTCACATGTCTATGCATATAGTATTATGAACCTGTTACTGAGGTCATCTTAATGCACATGTCTACGCATAAAATATTATGTACCTGTTACTGGGAGCATCTTTATTCACATGTCTACGCATAAAATAATATGTACCTGTTACTGAGGTCATCTGGAAAAATAATTCACATGTCTACGCATATAGTATTATGTACCTGTTACCGAGATCATGTGTCACGGCTAGAGGTTTTATCTGTACATTTCGAATGCGGCGCGTGTACAACACTGGATTAGTATTTCATCGTTTTACATTTCCGGTTTCAGCTGAATTCGAAAAGAAGCTGTTGAAAACAGAAAAACGCATTCTGAAGATTATCAAGCGGAAGTCTAAAGTTTGGAGTTTGACCAGAGAAGACAGGCGTGTGTTTCGTAAACTGCTGCGCGAAAGTCAGCAACGGACTTTACTCATGAAAGAGAGAAACTGGCTCTCGAAAATATTGACACGGGAAAAAGATAAACTTACAAATAAAGAAAAGCTTAAGTTGAAGCGCTATAAGAAACTGATAAGGATGGGAAGACGACGAAAGCCCAAAAAGAAGCAGTACGTGTAGTTGTGCTGAGAGAGCGAGAACACTTTGGGGATGTGTGAAGCACACGACAGCCAGTGATTCAGGTTGTACGTGAACAATTCACGAAGGTGTAAGTGATTATGAGCGGACGATTGAATATCGCCATAAGTTTGGGCATATACTTTTGACTGGTTCATAATTATTTGATGAAACGGTTATGCTGATCGGGTGGTGTTGCTATGGATAATAGGCGGGTGGGGAGTTGGAACCCGGAATATATGAATTTCGAATTAAATATTGTCTTCCTTTAACGTGGGCATATTTGACATGTATATTTATAAGCTTTAATATGACCAAAGATACCTGATTCTCCGAAGCAGAGAAACATATCCGTGTAGATCCGTGCTCCAGCCTTGACTGATGGGATGACCAATGCCAAGAGATAGTATAGTGACCAGTTGACAAGAATGGGAGTAGAAGTGCTCTTATACGCAATGTTCTGCTCCGCAACGGTCGGTGTCACGCAACCATATAAACACGCCGCGCCCGGAAGTACATTCTTACGTTCGAATCCTTCTTTCCCATGCCTCGTACCTCCTTGAAAAACTCCGTAAGAAAAACATCAACCTACTAATGTGATGTGCCATCTCTCCACTGTACACCCCGCAACAAAAACATCAACCTACTAATGTGATGTGCCATCTCTCCACTGTACACCCCGCAACAAAAACATCAACCTACTAATGTGATGTGCCATCTCTCCTCTGTACACTCCAGTGGGGGGAGGGAGGCTTAGAGATGGAAGAGAATGAAGGCTTAGAGAGGGAGGAGAATGGAGGCTTAGAGAGGGAAGAAAATGGAGGTTAGAGAGGGAGAGGATGGAGGCTTAGAGAAGGAGGATGGAGGCCTAGAGAGGGAAGAAAATGGAGGTTAGAGAGGGAGGGGATGGAGGCTTAGAGAAGGAGGATGGAGGCTTAGAGAGGGAGGAGAATGGAAGCTTAGAGAGGGAGGAGAATGCAGGCTTAGAGAGGGAGGAGAAAGATGGTGGCTTAGCGAGGGAGGAGAAAGATGGTGGCTTAGAGATGGAGGTTCTAGATAGAAGGGGTGGTAGGTCGATAGGCACATATAGGGGATGTTGGAAGCTTTGAGAAGCTTTGAGGCCAACAGAGGAGAGGAGGACACAGGCCTAAATGTTGTATGCAAGGAAGCACAGATAGATGTTAGAGGCCTACGACGGATGAGAGGCTAAGAAAGACAACACTGGAAGGCGGCTCAGATGAGGGTAGGTGAGAGGGAGGGAAGTACGGTTGTGAGTCTACACAGGACGCCTGCCAGCATGGGTTGTATATATTGACTAGAGCAATAAGTTACTGTTATATATTCATGACATGAATGTGAAATAAAGCCCAATTGTGATTGTCCGTGTCATACGCTGTTGTTCTTGTTAATGATGCTCCTCAAATAATGAGTACTGACTTTGGACACACGGACTTAGTAGGTATAAAAGTGTGAACACACAGACTTACTGAGTGCCCACTGTAAACACACAAACTTACTGAGTACATACTGTGAACACACAAACTTACTGAGTACATACTGTGAACACACAGACTAACTGAGTACATACTGTGAACACACAAACTTACTGAGTACATACTGTGAACACACAGACTAACTGAGTACATAATGTGAACACACAAACTTACTGAGTACATACTGTGAACACACAAACTTACTGAGTCCATACTGTGAACGCGCTGAGTGCATACTGTGAACACACAAATTTACTGAGTACATACTGTGAACATACTAAGTACATACTGTGAACATACATAGTACATACTGTGAACACACAGACTTACTAAGTACATACTGTGAACACACAGACTTACTAAGTACATACTGTGAACACACAGACTTACTAAGTACATACTGTGAACACACAGACTTACTAAGTACATACTGTGAACTCACAAACTTACTGAGTACATACTGTGAACGCGCTGAGTGCATACTGTGAACTCACAAATTTACTGAGTACATACTGTGAACATACTGAGTAAATAATGAGTACTGACTTTGGACACACGGAGTTAGTAGGTAAAAAAGTGTGAACACACAGACTTACTGAGTACATACAGTGAACACACAGGCTTACTGAGTACATACTGTGAACATAAAGACTTACTGAGTACATACTGTGAACACACAGACTAACTGAGTACATAATGTGAACACACAAACTTACTGAGTACATACTGTGAACACACAAACTTACTGAGTACATACTGTGAACGCGCTGAGTGCATACTGTGAACACACAAACTTACTGAGTACATACTGTGAACATACTAAGTACATACTGTGAACATACATAGTACATACTGTGAACACACAGACTTACTAAGTACATACTGTGAACACACAGACTTACTAAGTACATACTGTGAACACACAGACTTACTAAGTACATACTGTGAACACACAGACTTACTAAGTACATACTGTGAACGCGCTGAGTGCATACTGTGAACACACTGAGTACATACTGTGAACACTGAGTACATAATGTGAACATACTGAGTACATACTGTGAACATACTGAGTACATACTGTGAACACACTGAGTACATACTGTGAACTCACAAACTTACTGAGTACATACTGTGAACACACTGAGTACATACTGTGAAGTCACAAACTTACTGAGTACATACTGTGAACACAAAGACTTACTGAGTACATACTGTGAACACACAGACTTACTGAGTACATACTGTTAACACAAAGACTTACTGAGTACATACTGTGAACACACAGACTTACTGAGTACATACTGTGAACACACAGATTTACTGATTTACAAATTGTGAACACACTGAGTACATACTGTGAACACACTGAGTACATACTGTGAACACCGAGTACATAATGTGAACATACTGAGTACATAATGTGAACACACTGAGTACATACTGTGAACTCACAAACTTACTGAGTACATACTGTGAACACACTGAGTACATACTGTGAACACACTGAGTACATACTGTGAACTCACAAACTTACTGAGTACATACTGTGAACACACTGAGTACATACTGTGAACACACTGAGTACATACTGTGAACATACTGAGTACATACTGTGAACACACTGAGTACATACTGTGAACACACTGAGTACATACTGTGAACACACTGAGTACATACTGTGAACACACTGAGTACATACTGTGAACATACTGAGTACATACTGTGAACACACTGAGTACATACTGTGAACACACTGAGTACATACTGTGAACACACTGAGTACATACTGTGAACATACTGAGTACATACTGTGAACATACTGAGTACATACTGTGAACATACAGACTAACTGGGTACATACTGTGAACACACAAACTTACTGAGTACATACTGTGAACACACAAACTTACTGAGTACATACTGTGAACCAACTGAGTACATACTGTGAACACACTGAGTACATACTGTGAACACACTGAGTACAGACTGTGAACAGACAGACTAACTGAGTACATACTGTGAACATACTGAGTACATACTGTGAACATACTGAGTACATACTGTGAACATACTGAGTACATACTGTGAACATACTGAGTACATACTGTGAACATACTGAGTACATACTGTGAACATACTGAGTACATACTGTGAACATACTGAGTACATACTGTGAACTTACTGAGTACATACTGTGAACATACTGAGTACATACTGTGAACATACTGAGTACATACTGTGAACATACTGAGTACATACTGTGAACTTACTGAGTACATACTGTGAACCAACTGAGTACATACTGTGAACACACTGAGTACATACTGTGAACATACTGAGCACATACTGTGAACATACTGAGTACATACTGTGAACATACTGAGTACATACTGTGAACACACTGACTTACTGAGTACAGACTGTGAACACACTGAGTACACACTGTGAACATACTGAGTACATACTGTGAACATACTGAGTACATACTGTGAACAGACAAAACTAACCGAGTACATACTGTGAACATACTGAGTACACACTGTTAACACAGACTCACTGAGTACATACTGTGAACATACTGAGTACATACTGTGAACATACTGAGTACATACTGTTAACACAGACTCACTGAGTACATACTGTGAACATACTGAGTACACACTGTTAACACAGACTCACTGAGTACATACTGTGAACATACTGAGTACACACTGTTAACACATATTCACTGAGTACATACTGTGAACACACTCAGTACATACCGTGAACACACAGACTCACTGAGTACATACTGTGAACACAAAGACTTACTGAGTACATACTGTGAACACATAGACTCACTGAGTACATACTGAGAACACAAAGACTTACTGAGTACATAATGAGTACATAATGTGAACACACTGAGTACATACTGTGAACATACTGAGTAGATACTGTGAACACAGTCTAACTGAGTACATACTGTGAACATACTGAGTAGATACTGTGAACATACTGAGTACATACTGTGAACACAGACGCGCTGAGTATATACTGGGAACACACTGAGTACATACTGTGAACACAGACTCACTGAGTATATACTGTGAACACAGACTCACTGAGTACATACTGTGAACACATAGACTTACTGAGTACATACTGTGAACACACTGAATACATGCTGAGTTCATACTGTGAACACAGACCCACTGAGTACATACTGTGAACCAACTGAGTATATACTGTGAACACACTGAGTACATACTGTGAACACACTGAGTACATACTGTGAACACACTGAGTACATACTGTGAACACACTGAGTACATACTGTGAACACACTGAGTACATACTGTGAACACACTGAGTACATACTGTGAACACACTGAGTACATACTTTGAACCAACTGAGTACATACTGTGAACACACTGAGTACATACTGTGAACACACTGAGTACATATTGTGAACACACTGAGTACATACTGTGAACACACTGAGTACATACTGTGAACCAACTGAGTACATACTGTGAACACACTGAGTACATACTGTGAACACACTGAGTACATACTGTGAACCAACTGAGTACATACTGTGAACACACTGAGTACATACTGTGAACACACAGACTAACTGAGTACATACTGTGAACACACAGACTAACTGAGTACATACTGTGAACACACTGAGTACATACTGTGAACCAACTGAGTATATACTGTGAACACACTGAGTACATACTGTGAACACACTGAGTACATACTGAGTACATACTGTGAACACACTGAGTACATACTGAATACATACTGTGAACACACTGAGTACATACTGTGAACATACTAAGTATATACTGTGAACACAGACTCACTGAGTACATACTGTTAACGCTGTGATGTTGGCTTAGCTATATGCTGCTGCTATGTGCTGGATCTAAATAATAACGTAGCTGTAGTTACGAAAGATAATCCAGTGATTAAACACTTACAGAACAATAATTATCTTTAATGTCAATTATATATTGTATGCTATGTCTCATGTAATTTGTCTCATTGTAATTTGAATCTGTGTCATGTTTGGGAGAGACATTCAGATAAGCAACATTTGCTTGTTTGCCAATCCCTCCACTTTATGGAAATAAATATGTTTATATCACTATATTAAACAGATGAAAAGGTTTATAATTGATCATTTAAAAGTTTATATAGCATATTACTGGAACCCGACACACCTCCATTCAACATTAATTCCTGGATCTCCTTGCCTACATCGGACATTCATTCCTAGATCATTCCTGGATCTCTTTGCCTACATTGAACTCACTCCTGGATCTCCTTGCCTACATCGGGCATTCATTCCTAGATCATTCCTAGATCTCCTTGCCTACATAGAACATTCATTCATGGATCTCCTTGCCTACATCGGGCATTCATTCCTAGATCATTCCTAGATCTCCTTGCCTACATTGAACATTCATTCCTGGATCTTCATGCCTACATCGGACATTAATTCCTAGATCATTCCTGGATCACCTTGCCTATATCGAACATTCATTCCCAGATCATTCCTGGATTTCCTTGCCTACATCGGACATTCATTCCTAGATCATTCCTGGATCTCTTTCCCTACATCGGGCATTCATTCCTAGATCATTCCTAGATCTCCTTGCCTACATAGAACATTCATTCATGGATCTCCTTTGCCTACATCGGGCATTCATTCCTAGATCATTCATGGATCTCCTTGCCTACATCGGACATTCATTCCTAGATCATTCCTTGATCTCATTGCCTACATCGGACATACATTCCTAGATCATTCCTAGATCTCCTTGCCTACATAGAACATTCATTCCTGGATCTCCATGCCTACATCGGACATTCATTCCTAGATCATTCCTGGATCTCCT